GCCTGGGCGCGAGTTGAGTTGCTTGTTCAACCTCAGGTGTGAACTCCTTTATTTGAATTACATCCCATGGCTTCACAGGAAATTTACGGATTGTCCACTCTGTAACCTACCAGTAAAGGAAGACCTGTTCCATTTTTTGGCTGAATGGAAATATTTATTATTTTATATTCTATTAGTTGTTTTAGTATTTATAAGTTATTCATGTATATGTAATTGTTATGAAGTCTTTATTTGTACTGCACCTGTAAAACATATAAAATTTCCGGCAGACGAATAATCATGGTGTAAAAATGTTCTGTGTATTTTGGAAATTCATAATTTACGCATATTTAATATAGCATTTCTTATTCAATTGGTGATAACTCCCGATGTAAAATATAGATTTTTTGAAGAATTTTAAATTTTAAAATATGGCTTCGTTCTGTTTATTTCATTTTACATTACAGCTATACAATTTGAGCGACGAGTAGTAAATGAACAGTTGTATGATATGGAAAATGGGTTTGAGGTAATCCCTCCTAGTTAGATATAAAAAAAAATCTAGTTATCCGAAACCAGCCACAAAAGTGAACAAACAGAAACTAACAATAAGCTGAAAGGAATAGAATGGGACAGAACTAATTGGTACAAGACAAGGGGGGGGGGGCCTTCACTGGTCACAGGTGGTCGAATTAAAAGGCCTCCGTTATTTCATTAGCCGTTTGTCTTTTTTGCCTGAGATGGATGCCCTATCGCTCATCCCTAGTGGATCTTCTCGACTTATTTATCTTGTTCCCTCTTCCCTCGTTTGCATCAATTACCATCCTTTCTCCTCGCCATTGTCCTTTCTCATCTGTATCGCTAATTGCTTCTCTGGGCTATTATGGATTACCCATCCCGAGCACGGAACTTTTCAAATGAATCAATAAGCTACTTATTACTTTCACTTACCTATATATGTAATAATTAAAGAGAAGTTGGTTAGGGTATTCAGTAAAAAAAAGAAAAAACAAAAACAAAAAAAAACGCAAATTATTTCACTATGGTTTGTTATTTCCAAACCATTATACATCTGAAGTAACATTTCCTTTCTAGTGATAAACAAAAAGAAATAAGAGGTGCTATTGATTATTGCCCTAAACATTTAATTTTCATCATTAGTAATTTGCTAAAAAAAACCATTACTTCAGTAACACATTCAAAAATTAAAAAACAAAACAAAAGATATAACCTTTGTAGTATACCATATAAAAAATATATAGAGACCATATCTTTGCTCCTAATTTTCCTAGTTTAACGATTTTTTTCTAGTGGTTTTAGGAAATTTCGTAGACTATTAAAAAACTATTCGTAGAAGTATTTTATATAGATAAATTTGAAGGGTATCATGAAGAAGTTTTTGCCAAGTTTCATTGATGTCGGTACATTCGCTTAGGCGCTACAGTCTATAGAAACGCAGGTTTTTCGGCAGCCATTTTGAAACCAAAAATATAGTAATGTCAATGAAGGTGGATCTTCCTCGGGTGAACTCTGGATATTAAATCCAAATTTGAAAGAAATCGGTCCAGTAGTTTTGGAGAAAATGCGCGGACGACGGGCGTAAAACCTCAAATTTTGAAAGGTGGGAAAAATTTTGAATTTTTGGTTCGATTACAATGGCTCACTACTGAAAATAATAAAACAAAACAAGTAAAAATAAATACATGATATTTATTTTTTCCGACGTTTCGGTCCAAATTTCATTCTATCTAAGAAAATACAAGATAATAATAGGTATGAGAAACTATTAACAGTAAAAAGAAAATAATAATTTGTAGGTGAAAAATAGTGTTGACCAAACTCCAGACCAAGACGAGTCTAGACTGTTAACACACACAGACCACTTTGTGAGACTTAATTATTTTGACTCATGGAATCTCAAAACGTGTATTTCCGTTGAAAACTGAGATTCAAAAATGTTCACGATCACAATACATTCCCATAGTATATATTTCATATATAGATAAGTGAAAGTAAAAATTAATACTAACCTGATCTCACAAAAGGTTACCATAAATTAAATATTTGGAAAGAAAATCAGTAGAGCTTACGTCGCGCCCTCTGAAACGGTTAGCAGAAATACGTGAACTAAAGCCAGAAACTTATGTTATGGCCGAGAGGTTTATTAAACTAGAGCGGTAAGTTAAAGTTGTGTGATGCGCGCATCATATTTTATATTGTACATTACACTAATCGAGATATTAATTCACGTCTCCTAAAAAAATGTTGCATATTTCTTTTTTATCTTTAGTGGTTGGAATGATTACGTAAACAGCTTAAAATAAACAAATTTATTACTTGACATTAAAGCTTCTTTAACTGGAGCTATAAATCTAACTATAAAGGTTATAGTAATATCCTACTTTTCCTTGAAGTTTATTAAATACTAAGCTGTAAAAAAAAAAAAAAAAAAAAAAAAGGAGATTTGGAAGAGCGGCGAAATGTGCCAAGTAAATTTACAACTTGGCAGGAGTGAGTTTCCACTCTTGTTACAGATCTCGTATTTTTAATAAGGAATCAACATGACCCGTGTTTAATTAAGGAACAGGTGGATTTTACCTGGACCATCTCAACCTTGTGCTAAAATTAACTTTGTACAAGGATCTCTCTGTCTCAACACTTCTAACACAGCGTGTCCATAACTAGTTCCACTACTTTATTTAAATGATTTATTTAACTTTATTTTAATTATTTGGAGAACATCCTGATGAAGAGTTATGAATGATCGGAAGGGTGTTGTGCTTGACCAATGCAACGCTAGGCCCCACACCTCATTGGTCACTCACAATAAATTATTGAGCCTTGGTTAAAACTTTTTGCCCCACCCTTTATATTCGCCAGACCTAGCTCCAAGTAAATACCACTTATTCCGATCTCTGCAGAACATGAATGGAAAGAAATTCCAAAAGGAAGATGACATAAAAAAAACACTTTAATCATTTTTTTAACAATAAACTCCAGACATTCTATGAACATGGCATTATGTAATTAGTAGAAAGATGGGGAAAAGTAATATTAAATAGTGGTCAATATATTGTAGATTAAAATAAATTTTACATCTATAATACATTGAGTTTTATTTCACTCTGAAAAACCGAAAGGGTTTAGTTGCCAACCCAATATCCTTCTCCATTTATAATATTATTTTTATTAAATATTAATACATTCTGTCACATTGAAGAGCGTTAATATTAAGGCTACATTTATAATATTACATCGTAGTCCAGACTTAGAACTTTTAAAATTGAGCACTTTCTTGTTGGTATGTTATGATTTCGTCTCTTATAGACAGTGATATAATGAAAAGCTTCTATGCCATATTTTATTTCAAATAACAGAATTAATTTTGTTAAACTGGAATATTAGCGTTCTCAAGTAATTTTCTTGAGCTTTTTACTCCAAAATATTTTTTAATTTAATCACTACAAGTAACAAGGTTTGATTAAGAACAAAATTTAAGTTGAAAAATTATGAAAATTAATCAAAGAAATATCTGGTGTATCCACTTTTTTATTTTGTTATTTTGATTTCGGTGGTGTTAAAAAACAAAAGGAAAGTGAACGTGCAAATTACTTTAGAAAAAAATGAAGATATCCTTTTGAACAACAAATTATTATAAATTGTTTATCCAAAAGGTTGGGTTGTAATAATGCTACTTTATTATTAGTTAATTAAAAGTGATTAATAATTTTTTAAGTCCATTTTTATCCCAAAAACATAACATACATAAAAATTCAAAAACTCATTAACTCAACAAAAACTTCAAGTTTTTAAAATGATGTGTTATTTTTTTAATAATTTAAATGGGTCAAAAAAATGTTAATTACTATTAATTAACCAATGGTAAAATAAATATTTAATTTATTAGACAGTGATAATTTTGACCTCTGTTTTTTTTTTCTTTGGATCTTTGCTAGGATGTTTGGTTATTGCCTTGGCAGATAGAAAATGTATTTATGTGAAGAATGTGTACTTTTTCTAAAAAAAAAATCGATTTAACTGGCAGACTCTAAGAGCAGGCGAAACCCTCAAATCAAATAACAGTTTTGAACAAATACTAGATTATTTGTTTCTAATTATTATATACAACATGGTTCTCAGACCAATACGGACATAAGCTACTCAGGTGTGGGTTTCATGCAAAAAAATACACTTACATACTATTCAAATCTTCCAACCTGAATTTTTCCGTTATAAATCATTGGTTCTTTTGTGGTTCTCACTCGTTCTTCTGTCGATATCATTATTGGTGGATGTGCCTTCTTCATTTAAGATTGATCCTAGATATTCAAATTCCTCTACTGTTTGTATAAAACCTGTACCATTACAACCCATGAAGGGTATGGGGTTCAGTACTATTTAGGGAAAGTACTGTTTCTAGGTCAACAGTTGTGCAAGGAGGTAATTTGACCGAGATCACGCTCAACCGCCAGGTTTTCCCCCTTAATTAATTATTTAATTAAGGGTACCCACATTATAGAGGCTGGGTGTGCCCCAGGAGGGTCTTCCAACCCAGGGTCGCCCCACGGCCAATGAAACAGATAAATAAATTTTCTGCCATGAGCCGGGGTTCGAACCTGGGACCTTTGCATTGGAAGCTCAGTGCCCTACCACTGAGCTATCCCACTCCCCCTACTGTTTGTATTCCTCTTTCAATTGGCATTTCATCAGATGAAGTCATAAGGTGCTTCGTTTTCATATGTCTTGATAACCTTTTTGAATATATAACTCATGTCCTCTCTATACTGGGCTATGATTATTTGATCAAAATACAAGTATCATAGATATATTTAATAATAGCAACATTTTTGTATCCTATTTTACTTTTCTGAATAAATGCTTTAAATAATTATTTTCATTATCGAATATACTTTAAATAAATTAAAAAAAATATTCAAAGAGGGATCCTCGGTACTATTATAAGAATAATGCTGCATGCGATACTCCTTATAGCTTGCTATATCGTAACCTCCTGTCCGAAGGGGACGCCCCTCCGGCCCGCTGTGGTGAAGGAACTCGCCCTGCCGGGGGACTGCTGGCAGCGCCAGATGGTTCAGACCGGGGCACGCAGGGACACCATCATGGCCGAATCCGTCGAAGCCCTCATCAGGAAGGTAACCTCTTCAGTCCTATTTTATTTTAAGTAAATCCAAGTAGAAAGTGCATGTTTGTTGAGTGGATGAAGCTTTAGCGACTAAATTTGTAAGTGGGGTGTTTATTATATGAACTAGTGTTCGCCCAGTGGTCGAAATTCGACCATAGCCATTAAAAAGTTGAGAAAAAGATATAATTAAATAAATAAAAAATAAAGAGTAAATCACGATTCGAAAATCCTCATTTATTAATACAAAATTTCAATTTCAATTAAAAATCGAGCTTGAGTCATTTAAAATTATTTATAAGTAATACAAAATAGACTCATTCAAAAATATTTAATTTTAATTTATGTGTGTGTTATTATCACAATAACTTAATGTTATGATTAAGCAAGTTAAAAATAAATTTAAATTCACTTTAAATCCATTTTTATTCAGAACTTCTATGTAAATATTAATGAATTCTATGAGAAAAGATTAATGAATAGCTGCGTAAGATTTGTTATTGGTGCCCCGAGGTACTCTCATGTCTCCCACCACTACACTGAGTTAAGTTGGCTCTTCCCCTCCTTCCGAAGACAATACTTTCTAGGTACGTTCCTCTACCAAATCATCAACAACCATCGTCCTTCTTACGCCTACAACCTTCTCCAGTTCAAATCCTCAGTCCATTCCCTGTCCACAAGATCTCGACCTTCTGACCTTTACATGCCTTCTCACAGATCTGCCTCATTCCAAAATTCCTTTATTGTTCGCTCTGTCAATTTCTGGAATTACCTCCCTATCAAAATTCGACATTCCCCCTCCATATCCACATTCAAATCCCTCCTATTCCAATTCCTATCACAAAAACAATCAGATACTTGCTAACCATTCGAGCGGATTTCAATAGAGAATTTGATACATTTTTATTTTTTAATTCTTTATTTTTTTCGGAAAAGTGTATACTGGTCTATAAGAGCAAATAGCTTTAAGTTTCTTGTCATAGTATTAATGGTTTTGTATATAGTTTAGTTTGTTTTGTATATAGAATTTTTACCTTATATTTTTTTCACATTATTTATTTTTTTTTTTGATTAATTTTATTTTGGCCAGATGTAATATTTTAATTTTGTTCTATTTTGTTATTCTCAAGGGACTGTCTCCCAGAATAAAGTTATTTTTCTATTTCTATTTCTATTTCTAAATAATGTTTTTTTTTAATGTTCTGTTATGGTTTAGTTCACAGCCATGCCCATTGCCATTGAAAATATAAATTATAATATGTTAAATGAACGTGCTCTAGTTGCTGCCGCACACTAGCGGATCCAGGATTTATTTTCGGGGGGGCTTCAGCCCGAAACCTTTTTTTTTCATAAAAATAACGATATTTACTTTGGAAAAACAGAAAGAAACTAACTACCTATATGAAATGGTGTTTAAGTTATTCCTTAAGTACTTTTAAATGTAATTACACGAACAATAATACTTTAAGAGGTATTTTTTAATTTTTTTTCCCATAAAACATGGTTATATTTTTCCATTTTGGGGGGGGGCTTCAGCCCGAAAGCCCCCCCCGTAGATCCGCCCGTGCTGCCGCATATAATTGTCCATGCGAAATTACTAGACGTCACAATAATACACACATTTTTTCAAAACTTTTATCCTGCGAATTGATTATGGCCATAGCAAATGCAGCTATTAATAAGAACTTTGTTCTTTGAATGTCGAATTTAAGTATAGTGTCAGAAAATGTTAAATAAATTCTTGGAATTAAAATTCTATAATTTAAAGTAGCTCCCGTTAATACTTCAGTCTCATTCCTGTTTCATTAACTAATTCTTGTGCAATATATAAGTTAACAATGAGTATAACTATAGATTATATTTTTAAATTTAATTTATGAGGTATCATTCCACTAACATTACGTGATATCGGTGAAGAACTTTCGGAGATGAGCCGTTTTGAACAAACTGCCATTTATATTTTTGTTTACAGACTATTTAATATTTTTATTTATTATTCTATTTATTTAATACTTATATAACACTAAAGCTCGTCAATATCTATTAAACAAAAAAAAGAAGGAAGAAAATCGATTGAATAATAAGAGGAGTAAAAGGGGCTTAACCGATTTGTATTTGCCTATTTATATAATGATAATTCATATTTTCTATAATCTAGCTTTCATATTCTTCTATAAAAATTATAAACTGATCTTTATTTTGTATAGAGAAATATTTAAAAGGTTGATAATAGTCATCAAGATCCACAAAAAAGTTCATGTAAATAATTGCCCAATTTCCCTCAGAAAAGTGTGAAATTTAAGTAACTAAACATTGCTCCATACTAGTCCGTGATACACACCCCTTTTTATCAAATTATTAACATCCCTCTAAAACATCGTAACCTGCAAATATTTTATTTACAAAAATTCTCGGAATTGGGGCGTTTTCAATCTGGAGATCGTCAGGCTTTGTCTATTTAATTAAGTAATAAAAACTCGTAAATACCCTTGAATCGTAAGATAAGCACATAGCCTAGCAAAGAAGTGGCCTTCAAAATTATTGAGCCGTTTGGCGTGACCTACACTCTGAAGTTGTCAAGATAACGAGGTTATATAGATCAAACGGACCAATATTTTTGTATGCCACTTTTTTTAACGATTTTTTGATCACTTAAATCAATTATTTTTTTAAATTATCGTTTCCTATTCAACAAAAAACGTGACTCGTATATAAAAAAAAAAAAAAACACATATCTTAAATTTCCTATAGTTCTGCTGGAAATTAGGAAATTGTTTATATAAATTTTTTTTGTAGGTTTTGGTGTCTAATATTAACATTTTAAATATTTTCCTCTGCTTATAGGACATCCTGTATATTTACATGCGTAGAAAAAATGCGAAAATTTGATCTGCAATGTAATATGAACTGATAAAGAATGTTCATCAAATTGAGATTGAGTTTTTTAAATAATGGAAAAAACGAGATGGAATTGGTCGGGGGATGTGATAAATAAATACCAAATTTTTATTTGACCCACCTTTCAGGTCTTCATCAGGTAGTTGCATCAATTACTGCAGGAAGCAATTGATAAACTGGATAAATGAGTAAACTTGATAAACTCCAGTCTATCAACTGCTTCCTGCACTGTCTGATGCAACGCCCTGATGTAGACCTGCAAGGTGGGTCGAAACTTCGGTGAAACAATTAAAAATACTATTTTTTAAATAATTAGTATTTATTTGAACGCACCCTCCGACCAACTCCTTATCATATTATATCACGGTCAACTACCTCTACATCATAATAAAAAAAAAAAATCATATTTAGCTGAATATTTGAAAAAAACAGTGCGTCCAGGATCTGTGTTGGGAACTGCCAAATAATGAGTTAAAATTCAAATTATTTAATGTCCTACTGACTTGAATGTTTTATTTGAAATGGTTTTAGAAATCCAATTAGTTATAATAAAATCAAGTTAAAAAAAAAAGGAATGTTGCTCACTTTATCTGAAAAATCATTTCCATGAAAAAAACAAAATAAAAATTTCATGTATTTTTTAGTCTTAATGCAATGTAGTAATACATCATATATTTTGAAAAAGTCCTAAATAACCTACTGATCATTTATGATATTTCATTTATCGTAGATAATAACACTTTAGTGGCCGAATCGTTCCGAATGTTCAATTAGATATTGGAACAATCATGTGAGGTAGCAAGATGAATGGTCATGTTATTGCTCACGTCGATTGTACAAACAGCCCACTAATGAGGTTGGATTCTGGTAGTTGGAATTCTGTTGATTAATTATCTACTTAATTAGCAATTAGTTATAGCATAAACATAGAACAGATCCGATATCATTCTCATTGCCATGTAGGTATCTCTCATCTTTCGGAAAACATTGACGTAAGTATAGTATAGTCATGGATTGTTAAGAACTCACATTTAAAATTTTAAAAATTAATAATATCTTCCAAAATATACCAGGCACTATAATCCGTATTTCCTATCAGGCATGGCAGGGATGTAAATAAATAAAAAAAATACCAGGCACTACAACAAGTAAAAAAAAAAATCATACTTTGAATTAATACACTTATTTTATTGTTTTTTATTATATTTTATATATATTATTACTGCAAAAGCGGGATAGCTTAACATTGCTTCTATGCTCCGGGTCCAGATTTCTCATGTTTTACTTGCACTGTAGCTTTAGAGCTTAATTATTTTTATATTAAATCGATTTCAAAATATGTTGGCCTATTTTCTATACCTTGTATAAAAAATTGCAGCAATCGATTGTGAGGTTTAATAAAGTTGTCTAAGATAGTAATTCATGATTGTTCAGAGCCTGGTAGTGATTTATTTTGTGTCTTCTAAAAAAAAAATCTGTTCTTTTGATAAATGGAGTCCTGGGTAGGTTATTTTGTAGAATACTATTGCTTCTAATATGCTTTTCAACAGTTAGCCTACAGAAAATAATATAATATTCAGGATTCCTGAAAACACATCAATTAAATTAAAAGTATATATTATTCCATTTTTCGGAGAGGTTAGAGGTAAGGCACTGTGCACACATTTTAAAGAGTCCAGTTCGAGTTCGGCTATTATCTCTTGATCTCCCTTCTTTGGTTAGTATGTTTGATTGTACCTCTGTAACTCATTTGTGTTTGTATGGGAGTTTAATAATAATAAAATTGCATATAAAGTTTCAGTGAACATAATAAATAGCTCTGGATCCAGAGTCTAAAAATCGACTGATAGCAGGTGAAGGTTTGATTTTACGATTTCCAAAGTGTATGCTATTCTGAAAAAAAAGAACCTTGCCTGCCGTTACAGAGCCGCAGCTTTCAAAAATGGTGGCTGATTTAAAGAATATTAAATATAATTTGATAAAAACCCATAAAATCAAAGTTATAGCGCATCAAATTTTGCAACCAGTGAGTACCAGCTAATTTAATGTAGGTCACTTACTCCGAACAAAGTCGGTAATCTCCCGATGGTTAGAAATTGGTAATGAAATTAAACG